TTGCAGCCATGCTCTTCTCTTCCCTCGCATGCAGCCTCCAGGGGCTGGTTGGCATCCATCACGCCCTTCTGTAGGAACCGCACATCGCATGCCTGTGCATTTGCTCTGCCCTCTGGTACCGTTGTGTCCCAGCTGGTAACCCCAGCAGGGCGGGGGAGCTGCCGATGGATGGAAGCCACTCCTGCCCCGTGGCCTGCCCCTGCAGCTCATCCCGTTAGCACAGCATACGTGTGCCGAGCAGTCCCAGTACAGCAAGCGTGGCATCCGCAGGGCTGCGATCCAGTCCCATAGAGCTGCACAAAACAAACCAGCTCTGACACCGCAGCAGAGCGCTCGAGCCTCTCCAGCTTGACACCACATCATTATATATTGATGCCATGACACCAGCGCTCAAAATAGAATCAGGACAATTTGATTTCCTGCAGATCTCAGGATGGGGTCATAAAAACAGAGACTGTTCTGGAGAAATGGGATAGGGTGGAAATGTTCGTAGTGACATCACAGCCACTTCCATGCCAATGGCCTCCTACTGCTGCAAACATGTGATTGTGATTTTGCTGCACGCTCCATCAGAGAAGAGCCAGGCTGGCCGGGGAGAGAGAGGGAGGGAGGAGAAGGGACGGAAATATTCTGTTCTTGTATCTCAATTCAACTATCTGACAATAGCCTCACAGCCCAGGGTGCTGAGTGATCAGGAATGGGACCGTGGAGCTGAGACTGCTGCCAGACCAGTGGAGCTCGGGGGTTGCAGCAGCCTCACTGGGGGCTGAATAAGGACCTTCAATTTTATGGTGGAGGATCCTCGTCTGCATTGGGGTGCCTTATTGGAGAGTTGGTTGGTCTTCTCCTGGTCGCTCTTCCTCACCGGTCCCATTTACTTCTAACGTCACTTTTATTGGCAAGAAAAACCTACAGGCCTGAAATCTGGCTGCCAAAGCCACTGCGTAGCTGTTGTCTTTTACGGGTTCCCATTATAGAGAGGAACAGATCTCAGTATGGGAGTTTCACCCATGAAGCAGGGAGCAGTGCGGAGGGATTTAAGTAGCTGAGGGTAGAGGATGAAAGAAAGGAGAAAAGAAAGGAAAGAAACAGAGGTCAGTCAACCCAGAAAACAAAACTAGTTTGTGTCTGAGGATATTGCAGGAGGAAATCTCATGTCGATTACCCCGCAAAAGGGCTCTGATGGCTGCAAAGCCCATCTTGGGAGCAAGGTCCTTCCCGAGAAACAGCCTGCTGAGATCAGCCCTGGCTGTGTCCAGCACGTGTAACCTTGGGGTGCTGCAGAGGGGAGCAGTATCTGCAGGGGGGATGGGGGAACGAAGGGATCCAGCTAATGCACCCGTCGATCAGATTAGGCTGTCAAAAAAACAAACAGCTTCCATCACTGTCCAAGGAGAGACTCTCGCTCCCTGCTTAATGGGATGGCCGTCCTGTGGTTGCCACTCCAGGGAGAGGGGCCACTGCCACCACAGTGGGCGGCAGGCTGTGAGTTTAAAATCCTATTAGGCAGAGACGAACAGTTGCAAAAAGAAAGCAGGTATCCCCTAGTGGGGATTTAAAGATGTTTAGACATAATTGGATTTTCCAAGCAGATGTCATTATTGTTAAACAGTTGCCCACTTGATATGTTCAAGTTGTTGGCTGTAATTGCTAAAATTAGCAGGTCTGCATAGAGCAAAGGTCAGTTGGTTAATATTGTGATTTAGTATTTTATGAAGTAATTCCAAATGCTTTTATGTATGTTTTTGTTTTTGCAGCCTAAGCCCACATTAAAGTAGTTGTGGGGCCTGCTAATAAAATAATGACTCAGCGTCCCCGTGCAGGCTGCTATCCGGGCTTGGCGGCGGTGCCTGATCCGCCTTCGCGCTCTTCCCAGTGCCGTGGGCCAGAAGCGGCCATGCGCTTGGGTTTGGTGCTGCGGTCAAACAGGAGGCTTCAAACTGCCCCCCAGTGTGATGTCTTCAGCAGAGCTGGTGCTTGAAAAGACCCCATTATGTCCAGCAGTGGCTGGAAGGATGAGGAGCTGTTTCCATCGGCAGCTGAGCAGAAGGCTCTGCTGCTGGTACCTGTGGTCCTCATAGGTGGATTGACTGCACATGGAACTGCCTGCAAGTGCCTTCAGCCATGAACACACCTGAAAGAGACACCACCGACCAGGCAAGGTCCCCAAATACAGCTTTTTAGAGGGAAGATGCATTTTTGGAAGTGGAACACAGAGCTGGATCTGGGTGAGGTAAAGGCTTACAGGTTGCGCTGGGGCTGGACATTTGGTGCTGCCTCCTCTGGCACTGAAGATGCTATATAGCATAAGAAAAAGCTTTAAAAAACTCCTTAAAGGTGTTAGCGTTTTGTTGGCAGCCTCAGTGTTAGTCTGATCCTGTGTTCCTGGGACAAGCAAGGATTTTCTTCCAAGACAAGGTCTGCTAGGGTTCATTTGTCTGTCTCTGTAAGAGAGACACAACCCGTTCCCATGGGTGGTTTGGGCACACCTGTCAGATTTCTTGCTACTGCAGGACTTTGCTGACACAGTGTTACCTGCTTGCTTACCACCAGACCTTTATCGTTGTCTTTTTTTTTTTTTTAAATCCCAGTTCTTCTTCTCGCAGAAAGTGCTGTGAGGTGTTTTGTGGCCTGCAATGCACAGGGAGATGTGGAAGAGGATCTGCAGGTCCTCGTGGATTCAACTCTTACTGGGTGAGCTGGGTCCCTTCCCGATCCATGTTCCCATATTCCTGACAGCAGGTTTTGGTACATGCAGCTGCCAGATCCACCCCAGGGGCTCTCTGCTGCTACAGGTGACAATGGAAATGCTCTGACCCGGGGTGGGAAAAGGAAGTGCTTGCTGTTAGATGCTGCTTTAGATACTGATGCAAGAGAGGGAATGGCTGACCCAAGGCAGGACAGGTCTAAGGTGTGTGTAGGTCTGCGTATCTTGATCTCAGATCAAGAAATATTGATGTGCATACATAAAAACATCCCATTATGGATGAGACTGAAGTAAAGTTTTAGTCCTAGCAAGCTGAAAAGTTTGAGGAGCTGGGAATTCAACTCTGGTCCAGATTTCAAAACATGTTATTTTGATCAAAGACCATTTCAGTTTCCGATCCAAAATATGCAGTTTGGTTTTTGTTGTGGGGTTTTTGTTTGTTTGTTTGTTTGGGTTTTTTTTTTAACCTTGGACTTCCTCTGAAGTAGCATAAGGTAAAATCAAGAAGCCATCTCACGTGAACGTGGTATCCACAGAGAAAGTATCAGTAGAAATATTTACTTGTGTTTGCTCTGACTAAAATAATCTTTCTGTATCAAGCCCCTTTGCAATCCTTGGAGTCCCAGTGCCTGCAGGACTGCTGATGGCTCCCGAACTGTGGCGGAGCAGCAGACAGGGTTTGTCCCTGCACCGAGGTTTTCCCTGCTCCCATCACCGCTGGCCTCCCTCCATGAACCCAGCATGCACTTAGACTGCTACTTGCCTCCCAGTGCTGTGTCTTTCTTACTGGGAGCAGGACTCACAGGGATATAACAGCCCTTAACATAACAAATACTGTTTTGGTCTATTTTTCCAAGCTGGACGTGACATCAGTTGCTAAGGAAGGTGATTTAAGCTACATTTTTCTTTTCAAAAGTGTGTGGTTTTGATTAAGGGGTGGCAGCATTCCTGGCTAATTTAACTCACTGCTTAATGCTCAGAGTCCTTTACTAGTATGACTACCTCGCAGTCTCCGTCAAAGCATGGGAGTCTGTTATTCCAATCTTACAGCAGAGGAAACAGATGCAAAGACCTGCCCAAATGCAGGCAGCAATTGCAATCTGAATTAGAGTGAAAATGTCCCTGAAAGCTAGTTCCAGTCTCCAGGGAGAAATCAGTGGGCAGGGAAATCTGGGAAACTCAAGGGGATGTAGCGTGGGACCAAAAGTAAGAGGCATGTTAGATTTTAAATGCCTAAGGTGATCTGGCCAAGCAAGAAACAAGGCTCAGCAGTTCATGTCCGCACAGGGGAGGGCGGAAACATGGGGAGTGCGTTCCCTAGCTCAGTGGAGGACGAAAGCAGCATGCTGGCAGGCTGTGCAAGAAATGCATTGTGAACTGGCTCTTGCAGCTGTGAGTAAGACAATAAGGATAGTAAAGCACCATCTAAGTCCCCCCATCCAGCTTTGCACAAAGAGAAGCCCCCTGGAATCTGTTTGCTCATGGTTTGAATTTAGCTCTTTTTGTTTGAATGCCTCCAAGCAGAAAGGGACCATCAGTTGTCCCAGTCCCAGAGCCAAATTCACCTTCTCCCTGCTCACTTTCAGCCTCTGAGCTACACAGTGCTTCCATCAAACAGCTACACAGGGTTTCTGGTCACGATTTGCAGACCAATCTCAAAAAAGCTCCAATGTTCTTCTACAGTCTAAGGAATGACTTTTTCTTCCTTTTGGTTTTTCCTATGCCAGTCCCTCTCCTTTAGGCTCTGCATGACCCACTGAACCTCCCACACCTTCTTGCCTGTGTACAAAAACTTTTTTCCAATGAATATGCATCTTGTACGCCAGAGGCAGGATATTCTTCACTCAGCCTCAGGGTTGTATATGAGGGTCACACAAGTCTTTCTTCTCCCAGCTAGCAGACTTCAAGATTGGCATTTCGAGGAGTGGGAAGAGGACTTATAGCTTGTCATAGAGCTCTCTTACCTGTCCATCAGCCAGCCTGTCTCCTCTTGCTGTATGAATCAACTTGGTTTCTTTGGCAAACCAGCAAGGTTGCTTTCACATGTGTCTACTATACCTATTTACCGAACAAGCACTATCTATCACCTTACACAGGATTAGTAGAGTCCCACTCCTTAGTTTAACACAATTCCATATCTTTACCTGTGAAGTATTTGTTCCCAGACATTGAGAGGCCTGCATCGATTGTGTCATGAACTCAGCATTTATTAATACTGCTTGTAGTAGATACCGTCCGTTGAGCAATGAGGGCATGTCTCGCAGCTTGCAGTTAATGCTTGTGCTGGGGGACATCATAATTTCAGGTGGTCTTTTCCGTTTATTGTCACAGACCTCAGCTGACCGTCTTCTTCCACTTCTGTTCTCTCCTGCCCGTTCTCAATGATTTTCCTGATGATGATCCTCTTGCCATTGATCACTTTGGCAGTGGTTAACACTGATCTGATGCTGTGTGGCTCAGCTGTGTCCTTAGCAAAGGTGGACTGCTCGCTGAAGCTGAATGAATTCCACGGCATAAATGACTCCGTAAAGTCAGAAAACAGGCTGGAGCTTCTTTCTCTTCTACTTGTCCAGTGCAAGTTTTCCCCAATGTTTCTGAGGTTGTCAAAGGGGTCCCAGAAAACATATTCAAAGGGATCCATTCCTCCAAAGACTTCCCTAAGGATCTCCTCAACATTGTGGAACACATAAGTGGAATCAAAGAAGCTGTTATGACCCACCGTGGCACTACTTCTTGTGTGGGATCTGCTCTCCTTAACAGACATGTCATAGAGCAATCGTTTCTGAGGGTCAGACAAAACCTTGTATGCCTCAGTGACTGCTTTGAATTTCTCTTCAGCTTCCTCCTTGTTCCTGGGATTCTTATCAGGATGCCATTTTAGTGCCAGTTTGTGGTAGCATTTCTTAATATCATCCTGGCAGGCACTTTTCTTCAATCCAAGGACTTTGTAATAATCCACCATCTCAAAGGAAAGATGGGGCTGTTTGGAAGGTGTCTGGTACCTCTCTCCCACCAAGGATGTGAAGTCCAGGAATGACCAACGTGCAAAGACTTCTGGACACCTAGTACTGCTGTGCTCCTCAGGGGTGGGTAGATCCTCAGTTTATCCTCTGATATGCTCCATCCGTTTGCATCACAAGGTCACACAGTGCTGCTTGACGATGTCCTCTCTTTTTAAGATTGTTGTTTGCAAACAATGAGATTGTGACCTCAGAGGGGGCTCAGCCAATCATTGCTCAGTTGACCTGACTTCATTCTAGAACGGAATTGATTGTGACTGGCCTGATGTTTTTAAATGTAGATCATACATATGACATTGTAATTGCCCAATATAGCTGCGATGTCACAGCACTGACATATGACTTTATCGGATTATTTTTTGCCTGTACCCACCCAAAGGTGGGATTCTCAGAAACTCAGTGTGGTTTCACGTACAGTCCAGAGAAGTGTGGTGCAGTGAGGTCATATTACCCTGTAGCAGCAGCTATGGGAAAGCTGTTCGCAGTTTGGCTATCCGCAGTTTGGGAAAAGTGTTGATGAATCGGAGAAGGCTCAGGGAAGAGCCAGAATTTGTCATTAAGGACTTGGAAAATATGCTCTGGAGTGACATACTCAGGGAAAGTGTCTTGGTATTAACAGGAGGTTCAATGCCAGCTTCATCATAGTCTGTAAGAACCTGAATGGGAACAGAAATACAATGGCACAGGGATCTTCAGACTCCCGGGCAAAACAGTTGGAAGGTGGCATTAGCCAAATTTAAACTCAAAATACATTGCACATCCTTCATTGTGAAGGTAACGAATCATTGGAACCCCCTCATGTGGCCATTTTTAAACCCAGAGTGGGCCCTTTTCCTAAAATTGCAATCAGATGACCATCAGGATCGCTTCTGAACTTACAGCCAAACCTAACACTTCCAGCAGAGCTTAGCTCTCATGTTGGTACCAAAATAACTGCCCAAAATGAAACTCATTAACAACCTTGGCCTCTTTTCTACATTCTTTTTTGGAAATCTGTCCTAAGGTGTATGTATATACAACAGGGAAGCCCCTTGAACTCAACACAGACAAGTTCAGCCTGAGAAGCTGAACTTTGATGATCCAGTCCGAGGTTATCCTGCATCTGTTTCTGTTCCCTGGATTTGCCGTTCTGTGGGAAAAGCAATATTCCTACAGGGAAGCGTTGCATGGAAGAGGTCTCCAAGGAAGTGCCAGTAATGAGAACTCATCTGTCTGTAACACAGTGTTGTAAACACCTACTAATGGCAGTATGTGTTGCAGATCACTGCCCTCGTTTCCATTATCCCACATTTTGGGAAGCAGTCAGGAGCCGGCCAGACCAAAGAGCATATGCACAGCATATGAGCTGGCTGCTGTCCTAAGATACATCATACGTATGGGGCCGTGAAGCCAAGGGGCAACCATTTCAGCCTGTAGAAGCAAGGTGACAGAGGAAGGAAGGAAGGTGATTGAGCTGACGTGTTGGGGAGGGGCTATGTTTTGCTGGTTTTCTCACTGGTCAGTGATGGGTCAGTAGTATGGAGATACTTGTCATATTCTGGCAGCAAAAGTTGCCATAAAGTAGAGCAGTGCTGGTCTGGAGGGTGGAGCTGAAGGAAGTGCAAAGCAGCGAAGGAGCTCATGGTCCTGTGGACTCACATCATTGGGGAGATCTTGGGGTTTGCCTCCTTTTGCACAGAGGTGGTCTTCTTAAAGGCAGGGTTATTGTGCCACGTGAATTATTTATCTGCTGGGTGTTGTTTGTACTGTAGCAATGGGAAAAGTTAATCTAGGCCCAGGAGCAAGCTGCTGCTGCCCATTTGGACTTGGAGGGCACTCCCAAAACCCTCTTCTGTACTGAGGGGAAAGCTAAGGCTTCATGGCTCGCTCACACTGTAGTGCTTTGCTTGAAATCTTCACCAAGGGAACTCGTTTATTTGGGCTAGTGTTTTTTTAGGATTGTGCATTGGACTTGAGGGTGATCCAGACTTACCATCCACAAGCCACTGAATGGTGCCAACAGCTCCTAGCTACTGCTGGTGTGTCCGTTTGCAGATGCTTGGCAGAAATTTCAAGAGCAATTGCTGTTCCTGCTCTCTGTTACCCAGAAGGGAAAATGGGATGTCAGAAAAGCCTGTTGGAGGGTCCCAGGCCAGTTATTTACTGCAAGGAGTGAGGCTGTGTACGGAAGGAAGGAAGTGACTCTGCCTTGTGCTGTGTCTTTGCAAAGCATCTCCTCCTGTAGTTGCTTTTGATGATGAGTGCCCATCTCAGACTCGCTGGCGCACCGGGTTATCTGCCTTGGATTTAGTGCATCCTACCCATCTGAAAAGTAGGGAGTGTTTTTCTCCTGTCATCCCCCGAACAGGGGACGCTGACTGCCTGTCTGTCGTCTGCCTGCAGCAGGCGTCAGAGATTAGCAGCCATTCAAGAGAGGCCACTGCTGTGAGCCAAAAGCGTTTTCAAGGAAAAAAAGAAAGGGTTGAGGAGAGGCAGGGAGAAAGGGAAATGAGAGAGACATGCACACATCAAGTAACTAGACCCAAACTAGCCTGGCAGCCCCATCCCTAGAAACCAAGGCTTTGAAATGAGAAATGTTTTTCGTATCTTAAATCTCAAGTACAAACAATAAAAACCAGCCCAGACTGTGTTCTTTGAAGAGAAAGTACGAGTGACCTGAACAGTGGTTATCAGCAGCGTCATTAAGATAAACCCTTAACATGATTTAAAGCATCCGAAACTGAAGGGAGCACTTTCAGATACTAACAAAATGGTCTGACATTGAGGATGAAAATCAATAGTAATCTGATGTCACTAAAAATACTCAAAAGTGTCCCATGGCTGATGGAGGTGAGATTAGTGTAAATATTTGTATTCTAATCAGCGGCACGCGAGGGCTGGAGGCGGCCTTTCTGTCTATTTAATTAATGGAGTGGCTTTTTAAAAGGATCCTAATCATATGTGATTGTATCTGCTTATCAACATTTTTGCTAATTAGATGATATGGAGGCAGTCACTCTGCTAATTCCCTCATCCAAACAGCATATCCTGCACAGATAAAGTACAGTCTCTTTTTAATAAGAAACAATCATGAGACAGACTAACCTTAATGGTGCTTATTATCCGAGGATCTTTGGGATTTTCTCTTCTACTCAGCCCCTCCTTCCTTTTTCTTCATTCGCTGCTTCAGTATGCCAGATGGATGCGGACGTAGCGGTCCCTGTTCCCCCGGTCCTCCACTCCAGGCACCACCATGTCCAGCCTGCACTTCCTTCCCAGCCAGGCATCGGGTCTGCAACGGCAGAAGTAGTCAGGCAGGTCAGGATGGGAAGCAAAACACAAGGCATCAAGCAGCAAAATGTCCCAAGCTTTTGGTCACCCAGACCACAGGTGACCCCAAACTTGCAGTCCCAATCCCTGGCCTTGCCTTTGGCACCCCAGTGTGCCCTGGTCCAGAAAGGAGTGAGTGTCTCTGAGTTGTTATAACTTTCTTCTATTAATGGACAGCCCAGGGAAGTGGTTGAGTCACCATCCATGGAGGTATTTAAAAGACACGTCGATGCAGCACTTAGGGACACGGTTTAGTGGTGGACTTGGCAGTGTTTGGTTTACAGTTGGACTCGATGATCTTAAAGGTCTTTTCCAACCTAAATAATTCTCATTATTGTTGTTGTTATTATGTTCTGTTTTAAAACGGTCTGAGGGGAGAGGGGGTCTACACGAGTGGTTTCTCACCAGCCCCATTGATCCTGTGACAAGGCTGAGGTCCTTTTATCTAAGCCAACATAAGTCAGAGACATTTGTTCCAAGTCCTTTGACTATCCAAACAAACACAAATCGTGCTTCGCTCCACCAGTCAAACTGTCATCAGATGCCTCCCCCCAGGGCAGCCCCATCAGAGGAGACGCTGCGCTCACCCCCGGAGCTGTGCTCCCCAGGGAGCACAGCTGGGGATGGGTGCATCAGGCTAAACTCCTGCTGGGGGGGCAACAGAGGAACCTGCCTGACTTGAGAAGATGACTGAAAAATAAAATAGAAAAATTGCCCCAAAGAATGCATCCTCACCTCTTAAAATACAAGTGTAATGTCTTGATGAGGAGAACCTGTCCTAAACAGGTGTAGCTGCCACTGCAAGCGTCTGGGTGGACCAGAGGAGAGAGGGGGTGGGTGTCCAGAGTTTCCTTTTGTGAGGCCAGGACTTTGCCTGCCATTTTTGCAGCTGTGAATGTTCAGCTGGTAAGGCTTAAGTGACACGGATTCCCACTGCCGTGGGCAGGAGGGAGGGTCGGTGTGTCCTGCGCATTGATCCTGTGTCAGGCTCAGCACGGGGGTTGGCTATGGGATGGATGATGGGGTGGCTCTGGGGAGTGCTGGCTGGGAGGGACCCTGAGAGGCTGGGAGACAGAGACAAAGGAGGATCCAGAGACCTGGATCTGTACCCAGCTTTTCTGAGCCTCACGTTGGGGCTTGAGGCTAAACCAAGGTTCAGGCAAGAAGACTACCAGCTTCTGGGTGGTGGTGAGGGGCAGGAACCTCATGAAACCAGTCTTTTTTGAGGTATGAAGCCAAAGAGGAGGCCTGGTCCTTCTTGATGGAGTCAAGGGTAAGCCTGACATGTTTTTATGTTAGATCGTGCTCCACGCCTAGGGCAAGGCTTTGCTCCAGTCTTGGAAATCCCAAGTGGTGCTGTAACTTGTGTCCGTGGACTCTGACCCCAGTAGAATTCAGAGTAGTTTGGTTTCATTTCCGAGGTCAGCTTTATGTGTCATCTGCACTGCTCTTGTCCAGGCATGGCTATGCTGAGGCTGTACTCAGCAACACCGTTGGCCACTCCTTCTACTTTCCTCCCCTTTGGCATGGACCCTGACTCTCCTTTCTCTCCATGCTACGTGCAGGAATTAATTTAATACTGACCGCTTTCCCAGAGTGGTTTCCCGTTGCCAGTTCCATGACTGAGGGCTAC